GGAGTATTAATTGTTTTCCCTCACCTGTGTTTATGTTTTACCTTTATTTATTGTTGTCGACTTTGTCTTTCTTGATATTATTTTCCCGCCATATTATTATTTTTTTTTATTAATATATATTTATGGAAGTTACTTATATTTTAAACGTGTCTACACCTGCACCAGAGTTTTAATTAGTTACCTGTAGTCTTTATTTTATTTATTTATCATTATTTTTGTGTTTATTTTTTTATGAACGTTTTCTTTGTGAATATTTGTCTGTTTACTGTTTATTTAATAATTTTGGGTTATTTTTTTTCTTGAGGTTTAGTACATACATAGTGACTGTAGACATTTGGTTCATCACGTACATAAAGTGTAGACATATTTCATCACGTACATAGTTCATCATTACTTACATACACAGTATAGACATAATCAAGTCCATAGAAAGTCTAGTTCATACTTCATCACGTACACGGACAATATATACATTAGAAACAATAACAAAAAACTTCAGTACCCCATCAAGGACACCCCACCCCGCAAGATGTCGTGTTCTCCTGAGACAACAAGTGATTCGCGCCGTCTTCATCTCAGTTGGGAAATATTGGCAAAGTGAACACCCACACAGTCTTTTTCCCTCTGCCTGGTGAGACGGGCCAAAGGAAGTCATTCAGGTGTGACGTAGAGAAACCCTGGTCTTGAAAACTCCTTCCTTAGGTTGAGAAAACGTGTCAGGTGTGTAGGGGGGTTGGTGTGGTGTGTGTGTGGGGGTGTGTGGTAGTGGTGTGCGTGTGGGGGGGGTTGTAGAGGTGTGTATGTGTTTGTGTGTATGTGTCCAAAAACAAACACAGACAACAATAGTAACACTCCAAACACAAACACTACCCACATAGAACCCTTCCTACACATCCCCCAGACACATCTCCCCCCACACATCTCCCCACCACACATCCCTCCCCACCACACACATCCCCACCACACATCCCCCACCACATTCCTCCCCACCACACATCCCTCCCCACCACACATCCCTCCCACCACACATCCCTCCCCCACCACATCCCTCCCCACCACACATCCCTTCCCCACACCACACATCCCTCCCCCACCACCATCCCCCACACATCCTCCCCCACCACATCCCTCCCCCACCACACATCCCTCCCCCCACCACACATCCCTCCCCACCACACACATCCCTCCCCACCACATCCCTCCCCCACCACACATCCCTTCCCACCACATCCCTCCCCATCACACATCCCTCCCCACCACACACATCCCTCCCACACACAGCTCATCATCTAAAAAAGAACACTCCCCCACATCTCCAACCTGGCTGTTTTGTTTTGTCTCCGAGAAAAAAAAATTCCGAGTGAGAAACGAAAGACAACTGAGCCGCCACCTCCTCCTCCTCTTCCTCTTCCGCATCTTCTTCCCCCTCTTCCAGACATCTATTTATCTTCCTACCTATTGTCCCCCTCCTCTCTCTCTCTCTCTACTATTATCATTCTTTCTCGCTACAACGGGAGACTCATTGAAGCGAAGGGTGGCAGCGAGGAGAAGACGAGCGCGGGTAACATGCTCTCGACATGTTTCTGTTATTGTTGATCAGCTGGCCGTTAAGGGGATTCCCCGGAGTTAAAGAATACGGCTGGGCTCTGTATTAGTGTGAATAGGAGCGTGGTTGTCATTATTATTACTACCTGAGTCTGGGCGTGGGTGTATGTTGCTCTCTCTCTCTCTCTCTCTCTCTCTCTCTCTCTCTCTCTCTCGGTAGACCAGGGTGAGCTTGTTATACATCCATTTAATCACGACTTCACTAACTAGCCACTCAAAGAGCTTAATTCACCGGCCGCTCATAGACCCTAAGTCATCGGCCACTCATAAAGCTTAACATCGGCCACTTAGAGAGCTTAACTCATCGGCCACTCAGAGAGCTTATATCACCGACCACTCAGAGAGCTTAACTCACCGGCCACTCAGAGAGCTTATGTGACCGGCCACTCAGAGAGCTTAACTCACCGGCCACTCAGAGAGCTTATATCACCGACCACTCAGAGAGCTTAACTCACCGGCCACTCGGAGAGCTTATATCACCGACCACTCAGAGAGCTGATATCACCGACCACTCAGAGCTTAACTCACCGGCCCTCAGAGGCTTATGTGACCAGCCACTCCAGAGGCTTAACTCACCAGCCACTCAGAGAGCTTATATCACCGACACTCAGAGCTTAACTCACGGCCACTCAGAGCTATCACCGACCGCGTCAGAGCTTATATCACCGACCACTCCAGAGAGTTTATATCACCGACCACTCCAGAGCTTAACTCACCGGCCACTCCAGAGAGCTTATATCACCGGCCACTCAGAGAGCTTATATCACCGACCACTCAGAGGCTTAACTCACCGGCCACTCCAGAGGCTTATATCTACCGGCCACTCAGAGAGCTTATATCACCGACCACTCAGAGAGCACTCACAATTCAACTCCTGACGTTATTTTCCTTAGTCTGGCGTCACGCAAACACAGAAGTGGAGCAAAGAAACACAAAGACTCTCTGTCCTCTTGAGTGTGTGTCTTGTGTGTGTCACTCAGTGTGTGTGTGAGTGTGTGCCTTGAGTGTGTGTGTGAGTGTGTGCCTTGAGTGTGTGTGTGTGAGAGTAAGTGCCTTGAGTGTGTGTGTGTGAGTGTGTGCCTTGAGTTTGTCTGAGTGTGTGTGTGTGAGTGTGTACCTTGAGTGTGTCTGAGTGTGTCATGAGTGTGAGTGTGTGTGTCAGTGTGTCTTGAGTGTGTGCCTAGAGTGTGTGTCCGAGTGTGTGTCTGAGTGTGTATCTGAGTGTGTCCTGATTGTATGTCTGAGTGTGTGTCTTGAGTGTGTGTGTGAGTGTGTGTCTTGAGTGTGTGTCTGAGTGTGTCTTGAGTGTGTGTCCTGAGTGTGTGTCTTCAGTGTGTGTGAGTGTGTGTTGAGTGTGTGTCCTGAGTGTGTGTCTGAGTGTGTGTCTGAGTGTGTCTTGAGTGTGTGTCTGAGTGTCTGTCAACCAGGTGAGGTTATGGCAGGCAGGTGAGGAGATAGTTAATAATATACCTTCTAGCTCAGTTCACTATCTACTACCTATACTATAACTAAACTAGCCTTAATATATCAAGCTTCCATAATATAACTACTAGCAATAATTATTACTAGCTATACTATACACTAGCATCACTCCATCACATAACTCTCATAGATAAACCGTATGTATATATTTGCTTTACTCAGCTGAACAGGTACTAATTGTTTCAACAGTATTTGGCAACGTTGATGGGCACCAGGTGTAAATATGACAGGTGTAAATGGACAAAGTAGTGATTTATATTACAGTGGTACGATTCGATGTGATTTAGTTCCATTGTAAACATTAATATCCGTAGGTAAATGGGATAGATGTGATGTGGTGAAGTGGATACAGTACTCGTCTCCCGTCCTAAAGGTTTTTGGTTCGATCCCAGGGTAACCCATAATTCAATAGTTTCACCCACCTGTAAATGGGTGGTTAGGTTAGGTTAGGTTAGGTTAGGTTAGGTTAGGTTAGGTTTGGTTAGGTTAGGTTAGGTTAGGTTAGGTTAGGTTTGGTTTGGTTTGGTTAGGTTAGGTTAGGTTAGGTTAGGTTTGGTTTGGTTTGGTTAGGTTAGGTTAGGTTAGGTTAGGTTAGGTTAGGTTAAGTGGTTGATTACTGTTATTACCAATTAAAAAAATAATCTTAGCCTATGGGAGCCAACTTGTGGTAATTTATTTATTTATTTATTTACAACAGTACTTCGTAAACATAAAATTTTCTATATATATAAATTTAACACATATCAACGACAAAGATACAAACAGACAAACGTAACATAATACACAGTTCTGAATATTATTTTTTGGGGATCAATGGTGCATGTAAACACTTGATCCGGTTCTCTTTATTAGTTTGTGTATTGTGTGTGTGTGTGTGTGTGTGTGTGTGTGTGTGTGTGTGTGTGTGTGTTATTATGGCAGGATACTCGCGCTACACCTGCCACCTGATGCTCTTGTTAATTGGTGTGTCGTGTTGGATTACCTGACGTGTTTTTAACGGCTTTGGTGCAGTGGTGTTTTATATACGCCACCCCCCTCCTCCCCTCCTCCTCCTCCTCCTCTCCTCTTCCTCTTCTTCCTCCTCCTCCTCTTCCTCTTCTTCCTCCTCCTCCTCCTCTTCCTTCTCCTTACAATATGATTGGTGTGTGTGTGTGTGTGTGTGTGTGTGTGTGTGGAGAGGGAGGGAGAGAGAGAGAGAGAGAGTAGTTATAATGATCGATCGCTCTTTCGCCCGTCTATGTTTCGCTCTACCAGCGCTGGCGTTCGTGTTCTCCAGTGTGGCTAGGAGAGTGTGGGTGGTGGAGTACTGGTTAGGTTGGCTCAGCTAAGGATCCGCCGCTGATGGGAGTCCGTGACGTGGGTGTGGATGAGGTGTGACGTATAAGTGACGTAACCATGACGTGGGTGTGACGTATAAGTGACGTAACCATGGCGTGGGCGTGACGTAGACAAAGTGTTCCTCTAACCATAGCATTACCCTTATGTACCGCCATTATTTAACGTGTGTATATTTATTGTGTCATTAGTCTTGTGTATAATTATTACACGTTGTCTGTATGTTAGTGTGCCTCTCACTGCCTTACTTATTAACCTGCCTGGTGGTCTAATTATTCCCCCTTGTACATTATGTGTCATCAGTACAGAGTTTTAACCCATTTATCTCTACACTAGAGCTGTATAGTTTCCCCTCATGAGAGCAGTAAGCAGGAGCAACAGTAACAGAAGCAGCAGAAGCAGCAGTAACATACAGCAGTACTGTGGTTTTAATAGTGTATAGCAGCAGTGGCTTTAAGCTTCCCTCCTTCAGATGAGGTGCTGCAGTAGTAGTAGCAGCAACAGGTAACAGTAGAAGCAGTAACAGCAGCAGTAGGATCTGTCGTAGGCTAAGCCGTGCCTCTCCTCTCCTCCCTCAGGTGAGCGCGGCAGTAATCGGTCGCGCGCCACCACGCCCCTCAGCCACGCCTCTGACCCTGAGCTAGCAGACCCGCCCTCCCTCCACGACGCCGCCCACGCCAACCACAACAATCTGTCCCATTACCGCGCCCAGTACGCCACGCCCTCTGTCGGGGGCGTGGGCGTGGTAGGTTCTGTGCCCGGGGACACCAGCTCCGCGGCCGTCATGAACCAGCTGGGGGCAGGTCACGGCCATTACTACCAGGAGATACCCCAGGGTGGCCTCCACTATGCCAACCACCTCGATGAGTACGACTCCCCCGTGCTGAAGGGGAGTCGTAAGTTCCCCCAGGGACGGCGGATCCAGGCTGGGGGGTCGTCGCTGTCGTCGTCGGACAACAACTCAGACACTACTTACGCCGAGAGCGACATTAACTCCAGTCTGAGAGCCAAGATGGCCGCCCTCGATAATGGTAAGTTGACCACTGTTGGGGGGGGGGTGATGCGTTAATAAGAGTATTGTTGAGACTTAAATGGTCGACAACGCTGGAGACCGTACAGTTGTTACCTGGACAGGGGTGCGGGGGCTTCGTGGACACAGCACTTGCCTTCTGTCCTGAGAGGTTCATGGTTCGATCTCGGGGCACCGCCAACCCACCCAGCTGTAAATGGAGACCCAACGTTACAGCTACAAGGAAGTGAAAGCTACAGACTACAGTACCACCCACGCCACCTCCTTGTGTGTAGTACAGCATACGTCTGCTGTATCCACACTCTTCCTAACGGCTGACATGGCTTTTGAACCCACACTTAATTCTTCATCGTGTTAATGGGTGACCCTTTGGCCCTAAACTTTCCCACCGTAATGTAAACTCACCGACCAGGAATTATGTATCCTGTATGTTAGTGTGTTAAGCCCTTACTGGTCACCACTCTCTCGTTATAGCGTCAGTAGACAAACTCTCATACACAAGTTTTATTCTCAGAAAAAGTTGGGTTCCTTTTGTTATTAACAGGTAGTACAGATTGTATTATTATTATTATTATTATTCTCTATATCTCAATCTATATACTGTACCTGTCAGCGTCGTGTACTGTACCTGTCAGCGTCGTGTACTGTACCTGTCAGCGTCGTGTACTGTACCTGTCAGCGTCGTGTACTGTACCTATCAGCGTCGTGTACTGTACCTGTCAACGCCGTGTACTGTACCTGTCAGCGTCGTGTACTGTACCTGTCAACGTCGTGTACTGTAACTGTCAGTCAGTCAGTCAGTCAGTCACTTAACATCCCCTGAAATCCTCCCTCAATGTAGATTAGGTTACGTTAGATTAGGTTACGTTAGATTAGGTTACGTTAGATTAGGTTACGTTAGATTAGGTTACGTTAGGTTACGTTAGTTTACGTTAGTGTGAGGATACGAGAGTTGATCACCGTGGTATTCATACGTAATGTTCAGGTGAGTCTAATTAGCTCTGGGGTCACGGAAGGGTAGTAGGAGGGACGGTAGCTGCCTGTTCTGTACCTCACTCCCCGCCCCGTAGCTCACTCCCTGCCCCGTAACTCACTCCCTGCCCCGTAACTCACTCCCTGCCCCGTAACTCACTCCCTGCCCCGCCCCGACACGCCCCGGGTGTGAGGTAGAACAAGGAAAGATGTGTTAAATTTACATATATTTACCATACGTCGATAAGGAAAAAAAAGGCCATTTCAATCTCTCTTTGTAACTGTTCCTCCATCACGCGAGACCAGCTGAGAAATGTTTACACCAGCTGAGAAATGTTTACACCAGCTGAGAAATGTTTACACCAGCTGAGAAATGTTTACACCAGTGGGAGATGTTTGATTAGGACATGGAGGACTAAGTTAGGTTAAATAAAGTTAGGTTAGGTTATAGGAGGTAAGGTTAAGTTAAGTTAGGTTGGGACTTGATGGTAAAAATAAGACTAAATCAAACTTGATGGTAAAAATAAGATAACCACAGGAGATAAAGCTCAAGACCCCAGCCCCCCAGGTAGCTACAGGGAACTAGCCTATCATCGTCTCACAAGTGTTATAGATCACCCGATGATTAAAACTCGGTGTTGAACTCAGGTCCTCGTAGATCACTGCGACATACGACCTCCCTCCCCCTCCTCCTCCCTCATTCTGGTGAGTGAGGGAGGGAGAGTGAGGAGGGAGTGTATGGGGGTTCTGTGGAGGGGAGGTAAGATGGGAGGGAGGAGAGACGAGAGGGAATTGGGTTCTGAGAAAGGGGGGAGGTAAGATAGGAGGGAACTTCGAAGGCGGGAGGAGGAGGAGGGACGAGGTTATGGGATTCTGAAGGAGGGAGGGAGGGAAGGAAACTCTGAGAGGGGATTTTGAGGGGGGAAGGAAAGAGGGAAGGTAGGGAACTCAGGGGGAAGGAGGAATGAAGAATAGGTACTTCCGAAAGGACGATGGAGGGAGGGAGGGAGGGAAGGGGGAAGGATATGACGTTATAAGGGAGAGGAAATGGAAAAGCATAAGGAGAAGGAAAGAGTGGAAGAGGAAAAATGGATAGGAAGCTTTAATGGGAGAGAGAAGTAAATGGAAAGACAAAGGAAAGGTGTAAGAGAATGGAGAGAGAGAGAGAGAGAGAGAATAATGGAGAATAAGAGGAAGAATAAATAGTATATAATTAGGCCAAAACATACAGAGAATCTAAAATAACCAAATTAGTTACACACAGGTAGGCTACAGGTAAGAGAACCACAGGTGAGAGGAAACACAATCTTAATTACCAAGTAGCCCCCCCCTCCCCTCCCCTTCTCCCCCTCCCACCCCTCCCCCCACCCCCACCCATCCATTTACCCCCCTTAAGAGGTACTTCCCCAACAGGTAAGTTCTGTTCCAGGTAACCAAGAGAGTAGGTAGGTCTCCAGGTGATGTTATTTATTACTTACTATTAATTAAACAGAGTGACAGGTAATTACTATTGGCCTAGGAGAGGTTAGGGTCTCTCTCTCTCTCTCTCTCTCTCTCTCTCTCTCTCTCTCTCTCTCTCTCTCTCTCTGTAGGACACTGTAGGATTTATTGTGATGATTGTAATCCCCAACACACCACGACAGCGACCATCATGTTGTAATCCCTCGGAAGGAAAGAAGGGAGGGAGGGAAGGATAGAAAAGGGAAATGCTTGTAATCCAGTTGGTGGGGATTATTTTGGGGGGGATTTTGATTTTCAGTAAGATGGTGGATTTATTTTATGTTATATGGCTTACTGTTGTCATCTGTTTATTGTTCTGTTGACTGGACTGTTGTTAAATGCCTTTGAAAATACATCATATTATAAATTTGATACATTTTCACCTAACCAGTTAAGGGTAGCACCTGCCTAACCTAACCTAACCTTACCCCACTTAACCTAACCTAACCTAACCTAACCTAACCTAACCTAACCTAACCTAACCTTACCCAACTTAACTTAACCTAACCTAACCTAATAAGCGAGACACTTGGGGGGCGTTCTCACATCTTCAGTTAAGGGGAAAATTTAACCCAGCAGCCTTTGAGAGTCTTCTGGAGTCTGAGAGCTGTGGGAGGGAGATGACCTTGGGCGCTGAGGTCATGTAAACAGAGAAGGTGTACTGCTGAGGCCAACTGAGGAGGAAAGCTGCTCTCTCTCTCTCTCTCTCTCTCTCTCTCTCTTATTATCTTTCTTTTTCTTTCTCCCTACCTCCCTCGATTCTCCTCCTCCTCCTTTTCCTCCTCCTCCTCTTCCAACAGCTGGGTGTGTCACGGGTGGGCCTCTTCCTCGGCCCGTCCACCACACCTGCCTCTCTCTCTCTCTCTCTCTCTCTCATATATTGAGAGAGAGAGAGAGAGAGAGAGAGAGAACGTTAGCCCATATAAAAGTCATAGAAAAAGTGCCACACCCCGGCACTCCTTGGCACTGTCTAGCATTTTTGTGACACTTTCAAACACTTACAGTCTTGAACACCCTAACACACTCTCTGACACTCTCTGGTTCTCTCACACACTCTTTGACCCTACTGATACACATTAACACACTCTTTGGCACTAATGATATACCTTAACACACTCTTTGGCACTCTCTGGCATCTCTGGCACTACTGATACTCCTACACACACTCTTTGACACTCTCTGGCATCTCTGGCACTACTGATACTCCTACACACACTCTTTGGCACTCTCTGGCATCTCTGGCACTACTGATACTCCTACACACACTCTTTGGCACTCTCTGGCATCTCTGGCACTACTGATACTCCTACACACACTCTTTGACACTCTCTGGCATCTCTGGCACTACTGATACTCCTACACACACTCTTTGGCACTCTCTGGCATCTCTGGCACTACTGATACTCCCACACACACTCCCACACACACTCTTTGGCACTCTCTGGAACCCCTGATGAGGTAATTAGAAGGATACCTTTGAGGTGCACTGTGGCCCTCACTCTGAGAAATGATTTTATTTGGTCAAGATGGAGAGAAGAAGGAGGATAGGAGGGGAGGGGAGAGAAAGAGGGGGAGGTGGAGGAAGGTTTGGCCAGGAGAGAGAGAAGAGGGAAAGTGGAGTTGAAGAGGAGGGAAAGAAGAGGAAGGAAAGTGGGGAAGAATGAAGCGAGAGGGGTGAGGAAAATGAGAAGGACTAAGGTAAACATTAGACTGAGAGAGAGAGAGAGAGAGAGAGAGAGAGAGAGAGAGAGAGAGAGAGAGACTGACTTAAATGATTATAATGTAAGGGAGAGACTCAGCCAGGGAGAGTAAAGATAGAGAAAGGAAAACCATAGGAAAGGCAAATAAAAATTAAGGGAGAAAGATGAAGATGGGGGGATTAAGGGAGCGATAACAGAAGATTTAGGAAGAGGTGGAGAAACATAAAGGGAGGTTATGGAAAGGGGAGTGAAGGGAGATTAATGTTCTTGTAGGTTAAGGGAAGGTGAATACAAGGGTGGATAAAGGGTGATTAGGCTGTATGAATATTAAGGGAGAATAATGTAGATGGACACATGGAGATAACGATAGCAATAAGTACAAATCAAAGGAGATGAAATGAGTGACCTAAATTTTAAGGGAGGTTAACATAGAAGTAAAGGGAGAGAGATAACGATTAAGGGAGAATAACGTGATATTAGAGGAAGATTAAGATATGATAAATTACTAACAGGATATTTAAGGGAGATTAAGAGAATTCAAGGGGGGGAGAGAATGCCTAGGTAGGGAGTTTGCAGATAGGAGATAAAGGAAGGGAGAGAGAAAGAGCCAAGGGAGGGAGTTTACAGGAAGGAAGAAAATACGTTAAAAATTAGGTTAGGTTTGGTTAGGTTAGGTTAGGTTTGGTTAGGTTAGGTTAGGTTAGGTTAGGTTAGGTTTGGTTAGGTTAGGTTAGGTTAGGTTAGGTTAGGTTAGGTTAGGTTAGGTTTGGTTAGGTTAGGTTAGGTTAGGTTAGGGAAGGCAAGGGAGAGTAACGAGGTGGAAAGACTC